CAACATAATTTAAATTGATTTATTAACGGCATTAAGATTAATGTTTTATAAAGCCTTGAATCTGTTGCTTGCTCTATCTGGCCAGATTTAGTTGTGTTTCTTTGTAAGCGGGATTTGGTTTATTCTTATTCGCGTGGTGGGTGACTCATACATTCCAAAATTTCTATATATTCAATAATCGAACAAACATCAATATGCACCTTTGACTAAGCCATAATTTTTAAAAGTCGAAATTGAGCCCAGAAGCTTGTTGGCTAATTTTGGGTAAAAAGAAAAAAAAAACAATTTTCAATTATTTATTTTTTTTTTTTTTTTTTTTTGTTGTATGCCACACCTCCATAAATCAATCTTTACATTGGTTGCTATGTTACATGAAGAAAAAAAAATTCAAACTAAGAATAATTTCCTTATCAACTGTGCTCCCATTGTGAAATCAACCAAAGTTCATTGCTTTGTGTTTGACATACATATTGAAATAAAAGTTTAACAATTTATATGCGTTGTATTTTGAAAATTTATCGACTTGAATTTAGTGTAATTTTGGAAAGGCATAATTCTTTGATTGAATAAAATTAACAAACAAGTAAAGAAAGGCTATAGTTTTGCGGAACCGACCATGTGATGCCCTACAACACTACAATATGTTAGAAGCCCCCATTATGTCCAAATAAATTTTGAAACATTTCGCTTTTGAAATTATATCTCGGAGCACTCCCAAATATTACCCTTAGCTTTTTGACCAGGGACCTTTGCCTAATATACGCACTCCGTGGTGCTGAAATGTTGGTATTTTTTCACACAAAAGTAGTGGTCCATTCTAGCCGCTCTCCTAAACTCTAACTCAATGCGAGATGTTGTGTTCTTTGGTTTCTATTTGTAATCTTTATAATGGCTGCAAAATCAGCAGCATTTTTAGTTTTTGGTCATTTAAACTCCTAAATATATTGCGGACATCTTTGAAAACAATAGACCTAGCCCTTCTGAGCCTAAACCTACCCTCGTGAAAATTTTCGTGGCGATCGGACGATAATTACAATCTGTATATAATAACCCCAACCTGTGTTGTAAGGTGAAAAAAATATTACAAAATGTAAAATTCAATATTATAAGTCAAAATGAAAATATCTCATGCGATAAGAATTATAAAAAAAAAAAATAAAAAATGTCACAAAATACTACAAAATCTATATTACCATCATTTTTGGCATCTTTTTATGCGATTTTTTAGATTTTATACTTTTATGCAAAGAGGACATTGACATTGACATTGAATTGACAAAATTTGTAAAAATCGGTCCAGCCATTCTTAAGATATAAGCATACTAGCATACTAGAAGGGGACTTTCTTTGTATATACACATTGTATTTATTTCGGTATATATATCCGATATATTTACTATCGGCATCTACGTAACGGTCAAAATTGACCTGTTCGTCTATTTGTGATTTCTCAGGGATTAAGAATATTCGCGGTTTAATGGAAAATTTGACTTTTATTTAAGACAAATGTCGTGGCCTATTTCACCCACTAAATATTACCCTATGACCATCAAAATTGGAAGGCTTCTGCCCAGCCCTAAGCTCTAGCCCCATGCAAACTTCCGCTTTGATTGGTCTATAATTGCGACCTGTAGAGCAATTGCTAAATCAGGAATTTTTTTCAGTTTTTGGTCCATTTCAACCCCTAAATATTATGCGATCATCTCCAAAAAAAAATATGGTTCTATTCTGACCCTAGCCCCACCTCCATTCTAAATTTCGTGAAGATCGGGCCATAATTGCGGCCTGTAGAGTGATTACAAGTTAACATGGACAGACGGACGGACGAACATATATAGCTAGATCGACTCAGCTCGGCGAGATAGGAAAATCCATATATACTTTCCTATGTGGGAAACTAATATTTCGTGATGTTATATAATTTTTGGCGCAATCCAACTTATAATACCCCAACACATAGTGTTGTAGGGTATAAATATTTATTGAAACAATAGATATACCCTTATTGTACCATGGATATACCGAATCGAATTTCTCCAAATGGAAAATTTCGGTTTTAATATCAGAAAATCTATTCAATTTGGGCTGATATTACATATATGGTGGACAGTGACCGTAAAATCGGATGAAAATGCTTATATGTATAAAATATCTAAACCAATCTCCATAAAGTTTGGAAGAAGTATTTTCGAGCTGTATTTGATGTCCAGTATCAAATATCATTGTTGTCGAGTGCATATTACGCATGTAAGCGACTTTAATACCAAATCGAATAAAACATATATATGGGAGCCATAGTTATATCTGAACCGATTTACATCAAATATGATGTACTTGCTTCTAGACTTTTGTGTCTTACCAATCTTGTCCGATCGAGATGATATTTTTTACAAATAATTTATTGAACCCAAGAACGAACCCTATTAAAATTGGATACAGCCCAGTAATACCTCTGATACAGCCCAGTAATACCTCTGTTAAATTTTATCGAAATCGGCTTAGATTTGGATACAGCTAATAAATATCCTTAATCAAAAAATTTTCACCGACTTTTTTTTACCATTTTTTTTTTAAATTATGAATTTTCAATGGATTTTTTCTCTTATGGCAGAATATTGAATTTATAGGCCAACGTTTTCCTATAACAGTTTTTAGTCACCAGGAAATTATCTATGGCCCCATATCAGAGCATCCTGACTTTATGATACTTTAAAGATTTTTTAACTGCATTATATCGGCATTTGCTGTTTACAATGGAACTAGTTTGCAAACTGAATGCTGAAACTTTTATTTTAAGAAGTTTTCGCTATCTAATGGTAAACGTTATCAAAGCATCGGCTCGGCGTTATCAAAGCATTGGTTTGGTTGCTGAAGCGCAGAGTTGGACCAGCGACAATGGTTAATTTTATAGGAATAACTCATTATGTCTTTACTTAGTTGTAATATAAAATCTACGTCGGTTTCGTTTTTCTGAAATGTCAAAACCAGCAAAAGTTTTGAATAGAGTTTGCAACAACTTTGCACCAGAACTACTTCTACGGAAATATATTTTTGAATACAAAGAATACTTTGGTTTTTGTTTCGGTTGTCAGAAAGGTTTGCTATAGAAAATTACAAAAAATATTTTGGTATTTGACTTTTGGCATTTATTTGGAAATAATTATTTTTAAACAAAATATATTGCGAGCATTCAATTTATTCGGAAGAATATTCAATGTCCCTTGAAAGAGTTCCTGGAATATAACCTGCATAATAATTAATATCCGTCTTTATATTGAATAAAGAGAGACGATTGAGACGTCAATATCCATCAACAACAACTCCTGCCCTAATTTAATCTGTGTGTGATGATTATATATTCAATATTTTTCAAAAAGGATGCATTGCTTTTCAATATCCCTTGAAAGGAATTTTATATATTTTGTATATGGGGAACAAAGCCTAGTACATTTATATAAAAACCGTTGGATGGTATTTCAATATCCTGAAACCGAAAGCTGTATGACCATTGTAGGAAATCGTATCAATGATTAAGTTGCCATAATACCAAATTTATATAGTCCGGAGAATAAAACAGAAACTACGATCAATTTATAATTCTGTGAGTATTAAATTAAATTATTAGTTATTGTTATCGTTGGATGGAAATTATGAATTAGCTAAAACACAGATTAACATAAGAAGACATACGGATTTAAAATATTTTATTAATTTGTCATAAATTATGCAGTCCTTATTTTTTCACATACCTTTGTTTCATTCGAAATTGCATAATTTATATTGATTTTAAATCTTCTTCTCCATCTCAATATCTGTAAGAGAGGAAAATGTCTGCACGTTTGATTCTTTGCTTGTAGTTTATAGACTCAACAAAGATTTTTTTTTAAATTTCAGAAGGAACGGGAGAATCGGAATTACTTCCGAAATATATATATATATATATATATATATATATATATATATATATATATATGTATATATATATGTATATATATGTATATATATATATATATATATATATATATATATATATATATATAGAATCGGAATTACTGCCGAAATATATACATATATATATATATATATATATATATATATATATATATATATATATATATATATATATATATATATATATATATATATATATATACATATATATACATATATATATACATATATATATATATATATATATATATAAGTTTCAATGAAACCCAATGTTGGCTTCATTTGGTGTCATGAAACCAAGTTGGTTTTGTCAATTTCGAATGTAAATAAAACCAATGTTCGAAACAGCTGTTGTTGCTTACATGTGGTGTTTGTATATTTGTCATTGAAATATCAGTAAAAGTAAAGTAAATAAAAAAAAGGAATAAGTCGCTATAAATAAAGTAAGATGGCATCAGCAGTGGTAGTTTTTGTGTTTTTGGATGAAGAACGCTCAGAAAAGGTGACGAGAAAAGCTCTTAGAGATTTCAGCAACCCACTGGAGTTGCCGGAGATAGCGTAAGTATATCTTTTAATTGTGAACTTACTCATAAAGCTGCTGTGCAGATTCGTATCTAATTATAGGTTGAACAAAGAAGCATTTCGTATGGTCCTTGACACTATCGAAGGGTATTTGTCGCATTCTGAAATACTTCCGATTTTGCAACTTGCTACTTCGTTGCGGTTTTTAGCGAAGGGATCTTATCAGAGATCAGTCGGTAACGATTCAAATATAAGTGAAGCACCGTATCAACAATTTTAAGTGATGTTCTCAATGTTATGGAGCGATTCATTTGTCGTCAGTGGGTTCAATTGGAAATGGACAACAATGAAAAAAGAAGATCAAGAGACCATTTCTATAATAAATATAAAATTCCTTGTATAATTGGTTGCATTGATGGGACACACGTAAAAATTATAAAGCCTAGCATTGGCGATCATTTATATTTCAATCGAAAGGGTTATTACAGTATGAATGCCATGATTGTAAGTTGAAATGAATTTTAGTTTTATATTTTATAATAAAAGTCGTACTTGTTAATCTTCAGATTTACCATCTCCTTAACATTTGCATTTAACTCCAAATTGATTTCACTTTGGTCATCTAAATTTTTTTTTAAACGGTCGCTGGTATTTACTTTTCTTAACCTTTTTGGAGCACTTGTGGCAACATCTGCAATCAATGGGCGTTTTGAAGATGTTGATAGCATTTCTTCTTCAACTGCAACCAATGGGCACTTTGGAGATGTTGAGGGCATTTCTTCTTCAACTGCAACCAATGGGCACTTTGAAGATGTTGAGGGCATTTCTTCCTCAACTGAAACATCAACATCTTCCGTGAGACCAAGTGAAATGCCGGACACACCTTCTACTGACTGCGCAATGCCACATAAACGCACTATAGCCTCTTCATTAGCTGTCAACTGATGTTTTGCGTACGGTCCACCGCCAGTTGCCCTAGATTCAGCTTTATTTTGCGCCATCTTTCTTTTCACTTCGCTTTTCCACTCAGTCCATTTCTATAAAAATAAAAACTACAGATTAACAATCTTAGTTTTAGTTTTGTGGCAAAATTTGTTTACCTTCTTCCATCCGTTAACATCGTTTTGTGATGGACCTGCACTATTTAGTGATTCTGACAATTGTTGCCATAGGGCATCCACTTTTGGCTTATCACACTTAGTGAACCCCTTTGCTAGGTCTGGATACTTCTCCATAAATTCCAGGATAATTGCATTTTGGGTACTATTTTTATGCTTTCCCCTACAAAATAAAACATCAATGCGAAAATATATATTTTTTAAGCAAATGTTAAAATAAATGAATTTACTTACATTTTTACAACATATCCCAAAGCGAGCAAATGAAAAGTGACAGCTCTATGCAACTTGGTTTATTTCCAATAACAGAACCAATAACATTGGCTTCTTTGACAACCAAAACCGATAAAATTCTAATTCGAAAATAAAACCGATAACATTGATTTTCATGACACCAAATCATTTTTCCTTGTCGTTTTTAAAACCAATAGTGACAAAATTGGTTTCTATGACAGCCCTGTATATATATATACCATATATATATAATTGCTCGACAATGTCTATATGAATATATATATATATATAAATACATATATATATATATATATATATATATATATATATATATATATATATATATATATATATATATATATATATATATATATATATATATATATATAATTTTATAGGAATGTCTTTACTTAGTTGTAATGTAAAATCTACGTCGGTTTCGTTTTTCTGAAATGTCAAAACCAGTAAAAGTTTTGAATAGAGTTTGCAACTACTTTGCACCAGAACTACTACGGAAATATATTTTTGAATACAAAGAATACTTTGGTTTTTGTTTCGGTTGTTAGAAATGTTTGCTATAGAAAATTACAAAAAAAATTTTGGTATTTGACTTATGGCATTCATTTGGAAAATAACTATTTTTAAACAAAATATATTGCGAGCATTCAATTTATTCGAAAGAATATTCAATGTCCCTTGAAAGAGTTCCTGGAATATAACCTGCATAATAATTAATATCCGTCTTTATGTTGAATAAAGAATGAGGATTGAGACGTCAATATCCATCAACAAGAACTCCTGCCTTAATATAATCTGTGTGTGAGGATTGTATATTCAATATCCCTCAAAAAGGATTCATTGCCTTTCAATATCCCTTAAAAGGAATTTTTAATATTTTGTATATGGGGAACAAAGCTTAGTACATTTATATAAAAACCGTTGGATGGTATTTCAATATCCTGAAACCGATAGCTATATGACCATTTTAAGAAATCGTGGCAATAAATAAGTTGCCATAATACCAAATTTGGATGGTCCGCAGAATAAAACAGAAATGAAACAGAAACTACGATCAACAAGCGCTTGTCGAGGCAGATTCAATTTATAATTCTGTGAGTATTAAATTAAATTATTAGTTATTCTTATCGTTGGATGGAAATTATGAAATAGCTAAAACACAGATTTACGTAAGAAGACATACGGATTTAAAATATTTTATTAATTTGTCATAAATTATGCAGTCCTTATTTTTTCACATACCTTTGTTTCATTCGAAATTACATAATTTATATTGATTTTAAATCTTCTTCTCCATCTCAATATCTGTAAGAGAGGAAAATGTCTGTACGTCTGATTTTTTGATTTTTTGTTAATTGTAATGTAAAATCTACGTCGGTTTCGTTTTTCTGAAATGTCAAAACCAGTAAAAGTTTTGAATAGAGTTTGCAACTACTTTGCACCAGAACTACTACGGAAATATATTTTTGAATACAAAGAATACTTTGGTTTTTGTTTCGGTTGTTAGAAATGTTTGCTATAGAAAATTACAAAAAATATTTTGGTATTTGACTTATGGCATTCATTTGGAAAATAACTATTTTTAAACAAAATATATTGCGAGCATTCAATTTATTCGAAAGAATATTCAATGTCCCTTGAAAGAGTTCCTGGAATATAACCTGCATAATAATTAATATCCGTCTTTATGTTGAATAAAGAATGAGGATTGAGACGTCAATATCCATCAACAAGAACTCCTGCCTTAATATAATCTGTGTGTGAGGATTGTATATTCAATATCCCTCAAAAAGGATTCATTGCCTTTCAATATCCCTTAAAAGGAATTTTTAATATTTTGTATATGGGGAACAAAGCTTAGTACATTTATATAAAAACCGTTGGATGGTATTTCAATATCCTGAAACCGATAGCTATATGACCATTTTAAGAAATCGTGGCAATAAATAAGTTGCCATAATACCAAATTTGGATGGTCCGCAGAATAAAACAGAAATGAAACAGAAACTACGATCAACAAGCGCTTGTCGAGGCAGATTCAATTTATAATTCTGTGAGTATTAAATTAAATTATTAGTTATTCTTATCGTTGGATGGAAATTATGAAATAGCTAAAACACAGATTTACGTAAGAAGACATACGGATTTAAAATATTTTATTAATTTGTCATAAATTATGCAGTCCTTATTTTTTCACATACCTTTGTTTCATTCGAAATTACATAATTTATATTGATTTTAAATCTTCTTCTCCATCTCAATATCTGTAAGAGAGGAAAATGTCTGTACGTCTGATTTTTTGTTTGTGGTTTATAGACTCAAAAACTGCTGCATAGATTTTTTTAAATTTCAGTAGGAACAGGAGAATCGGAATTACTTCCAAAATATTAAGTTTTTGTATGCACAATCTATTAATCGATTTCATATATAGTCTTCAATATGGGAGTGCGTAACGGAATTTGTAGCAAAAATTATTTTGTCAAATTCAGATTGAATATATATATACATTGATGGAATATATATATATACACAGGAACCATGTCGGTTTTGCTTATTGTCGTTTTTGTAAACCAAGGTTGGTTTCATTTGGTGTCGTGAAACCAAGTTGGTTTTGTCAATTTCGAATGTAAATAAAACCAATGTTCGAAACAGCTGTTGTTGCTTACATGTGGTGTTTGTATATTTGTCATTGAAATATCAGTAAAAGTAAAGTAAATAAAAAAAAGGAATAAGTCGCTATAAATAAAGTAAGATGGCATCAGCAGTGGTAGTTTTTGTGTTTTTGGATGAAGAACGCTCAGAAAAGGTGACGAGAAAAGCTCTTAGAGATTTCAGCAACCCACTGGAGTTGCCGGAGATAGCGTAAGTATATCTTTTAATTGTGAACTTACTCATAAAGCTGCTGTGCAGATTCGTATCTAATTATAGGTTGAACAAAGAAGCATTTCGTATGGTCCTTGACACTATCGAAGGGTATTTGTCGCATTCTGAAATACTTCCGATTTTGCAACTTGCTACTTCGTTGCGGTTTTTAGCGAAGGGATCTTATCAGAGATCAGTCGGTAACGATTCAAATATAAGTGAAGCACCGTATCAACAATTTTAAGTGATGTTCTCAATGTTATGGAGCGATTCATTTGTCGTCAGTGGGTTCAATTGGAAATGGACAACAATGAAAAAAGAAGATCAAGAGACCATTTCTATAATAAATATAAAATTCCTTGTATAATTGGTTGCATTGATGGGACACACGTAAAAATTATAAAGCCTAGCATTGGCGATCATTTATATTTCAATCGAAAGGGTTATTACAGTATGAATGCCATGATTGTAAGTTGAAATGAATTTTAGTTTTATATTTTATAATAAAAGTCGTACTTGTTAATCTTCAGATTTACCATCTCCTTAACATTTGCATTTAACTCCAAATTGATTTCACTTTGGTCATCTAAATTTTTTTTTAAACGGTCGCTGGTATTTACTTTTCTTAACCTTTTTGGAGCACTTGTGGCAACATCTGCAATCAATGGGCGTTTTGAAGATGTTGATAGCATTTCTTCTTCAACTGCAACCAATGGGCACTTTGGAGATGTTGAGGGCATTTCTTCTTCAACTGCAACCAATGGGCACTTTGAAGATGTTGAGGTCATTTCTTCCTCAACTGAAACATCAACATCTTCCGTGAGACCAAGTGAAATGCCGGACACACCTTCTACTGACTGCGCAATGCCACATAAACGCACTATAGCCTCTTCATTAGCTGTCAACTGATGTTTTGCGTACGGTCCACCGCCAGTTGCCCTAGATTCAGCTTTATTTTGCGCCATCTTTCTTTTCACTTCGCTTTTCCACTCAGTCCATTTCTATAAAAATAAAAACTACAGATTAACAATCTTAGTTTTAGTTTTGTGGCAAAATTTGTTTACCTTCTTCCATCCGTTAACATCGTTTTGTGATGGACCTGCACTATTTAGTGATTCTGACAATTGTTGCCATAGGGCATCCACTTTTGGCTTATCACACTTAGTGAACCCCTTTGCTAGGTCTGGATACTTCTCCATAAATTCCAGGATAATTGCATTTTGGGTACTATTTTTATGCTTTCCCCTACAAAATAAAACATCAATGCGAAAATATATATTTTTTAAGCAAATGTTAAAATAAATGAATTTACTTACATTTTTACAACATATCCCAAAGCGAGCAAATGAAAAGTGACAGCTCTATGCAACTTGGTTTATTTCCAATAACAGAACCAATAACATTGGCTTCTTTGACAACCAAAACCGATAAAATTCTAATTCGAAAATAAAACCGATAACATTGATTTTCATGACACCAAATCATTTTTCCTTGTCGTTTTTAAAACCAATAGTGACAAAATTGGTTTCTATGACAGCCCTGTATATATATATATATATATACCATATATATATAATTGCTCGACAATGTCTATATGAATATATATATATATATAAATACATATATATATATATATATATATATATATATATATATATATATATATATATATATATATATATATATATATATATATATATATATATATATATATATATATATATATATATATATATATATATATATATATAATTTTATAGGAATGTCTTTACTTAGTTGTAATGTAAAATCTACGTCGGTTTCGTTTTTCTGAAATGTCAAAACCAGTAAAAGTTTTGAATAGAGTTTGCAACTACTTTGCACCAGAACTACCACGGAAATATATTTTTGAATACAAAGAATACTTTGGTTTTTGTTTCGGTTGTTAGAAAGGTTTGCTATAGAAAATTACAAAAAATATTTTGGTATTTGACTTTTGGCATTCATTTGGAAAATAACTATTTTTAAACAAAATATATTGCGAGCATTCAATTTATTCGAAAGAATATTCAATGTCCCTTGAAAGAGTTCCTGGAATATAACCTGCATAATAATTAATATCCGTCTTTATGTTGAATAAAGAATGAGGATTGAGACGTCAATATCCATCAACAAGAACTCCTGCCTTAATATAATCTGTGTGTGAGGATTGTATATTCAATATCCCTCAAAAAGGATTCATTGCCTTTCAATATCCCTTAAAAGGAATTTTTAATATTTTGTATATGGGGAACAAAGCTTAGTACATTTATATAAAAACCGTTGGATGGTATTTCAATATCCTGAAACCGATAGCTATATGACCATTTTAAGAAATCGTGGCAATAAATAAGTTGCCATAATACCAAATTTGGATGGTCCGCAGAATAAAACAGAAATGAAACAGAAACTACGATCAACAAGCGCTTGTCGAGGCAGATTCAATTTATAATTCTGTGAGTATTAAATTAAATTATTAGTTATTCTTATCGTTGGATGGAAATTATGAAATAGCTAAAACACAGATTTACGTAAGAAGACATACGGATTTAAAATATTTTATTAATTTGTCATAAATTATGCAGTCCTTATTTTTTCACATACCTTTGTTTCATTCGAAATTATATCTGTAAGAGAGGAAAATGTCTGTACGTCTGATTTTTTGTTTGTGGTTTATAGACTCAAAAACTGCTGCATAGATTTTTTTAAATTTCAGTAGGAACAGGAGAATCGGAATTACTTCCAAAATATTAAGTTTTTGTATGCACAATCTATTAATCGATTTCATATATAGTCTTCAATATGGGAGTGCGTAACGGAATTTGTAGCAAAAATTATTTTGTCAAATTCAGATTGAATATATATATACATTGATGGAATATATATATACACAGGAACCATGTCGGTTTTGCTTATTGTCGTTTTTGTAAACCAAGGTTGGTTTCATTTGGTGTCGTGAAACCAAGTTGGTTTTGTCAATTTCGAATGTAAATAAAACCAATGTTCGAAACAGCTGTTGTTGCTTACATGTGGTGTTTGTATATTTGTCATTGAAATATCAGTAAAAGTAAAGTAAATAAAAAAAAGGAATAAGTCGCTATAAATAAAGTAAGATGGCATCAGCAGTGGTAGTTTTTGTGTTTTTGGATGAAGAACGCTCAGAAAAGGTGACGAGAAAAGCTCTTAGAGATTTCAGCAACCCACTGGAGTTGCCGGAGATAGCGTAAGTATATCTTTTAATTGTGAACTTACTCATAAAGCTGCTGTGCAGATTCGTATCTAATTATAGGTTGAACAAAGAAGCATTTCGTATGGTCCTTGACACTATCGAAGGGTATTTGTCGCATTCTGAAATACTTCCGATTTTGCAACTTGCTACTTCGTTGCGGTTTTTAGCGAAGGGATCTTATCAGAGATCAGTCGGTAACGATTCAAATATAAGTGAAGCACCGTATCAACAATTTTAAGTGATGTTCTCAATGTTATGGAGCGATTCATTTGTCGTCAGTGGGTTCAATTGGAAATGGACAACAATGAAAAAAGAAGATCAAGAGACCATTTCTATAATAAATATAAAATTCCTTGTATAATTGGTTGCATTGATGGGACACACGTAAAAATTATAAAGCCTAGCATTGGCGATCATTTATATTTCAATCGAAAGGGTTATTACAGTATGAATGCCATGATTGTAAGTTGAAATGAATTTTAGTTTTATATTTTATAATAAAAGTCGTACTTGTTAATCTTCAGATTTACCATCTCCTTAACATTTGCATTTAACTCCAAATTGATTTCACTTTGGTCATCTAAATTTTTTTTTAAACGGTCGCTGGTATTTACTTTTCTTAACCTTTTTGGAGCACTTGTGGCAACATCTGCAATCAATGGGCGTTTTGAAGATGTTGATAGCATTTCTTCTTCAACTGCAACCAATGGGCACTTTGGAGATGTTGAGGGCATTTCTTCTTCAACTGCAACCAATGGGCACTTTGAAGATGTTGAGGTCATTTCTTCCTCAACTGAAACATCAACATCTTCCGTGAGACCAAGTGAAATGCCGGACACACCTTCTACTGACTGCGCAATGCCACATAAACGCACTATAGCCTCTTCATTAGCTGTCAACTGATGTTTTGCGTACGGTCCACCGCCAGTTGCCCTAGATTCAGCTTTATTTTGCGCCATCTTTCTTTTCACTTCGCTTTTCCACTCAGTCCATTTCTATAAAAATAAAAACTACAGATTAACAATCTTAGTTTTAGTTTTGTGGCAAAATTTGTTTACCTTCTTCCATCCGTTAACATCGTTTTGTGATGGACCTGCACTATTTAGTGATTCTGACAATTGTTGCCATAGGGCATCCACTTTTGGCTTATCACACTTAGTGAACCCCTTTGCTAGGTCTGGATACTTCTCCATAAATTCCAGGATAATTGCATTTTGGGTACTATTTTTATGCTTTCCCCTACAAAATAAAACATCAATGCGAAAATATATATTTTTTAAGCAAATGTTAAAATAAATGAATTTACTTACATTTTTACAACATATCCCAAAGCGAGCAAATGAAAAGTGACAGCTCTATGCAACTTGGTTTATTTCCAATAACAGAACCAATAACATTGGCTTCTTTGACAACCAAAACCGATAAAATTCTAATTCGAAAATAAAACCGATAACATTGATTTTCATGACACCAAATCATTTTTCCTTGTCGTTTTTAAAACCAATAGTGACAAAATTGGTTTCTATGACAGCCCTGTATATATATATATATACCATATATATATAATTGCTCGACAATGTCTATATGAATATATATATATATATAAATACATATATATATATATATATATATATATATATATATATATATATATAATTTTATAGGAATGTCTTTACTTAGTTGTAATGTAAAATCTACGTCGGTTTCGTTTTTCTGAAATGTCAAAACCAGTAAAAGTTTTGAATAGAGTTTGCAACTACTTTGCACCAGAACTACTACGGAAATATATTTTTGAATACAAAGAATACTTTGGTTTTTGTTTCGGTTGTTAGAAAGGTTTGCTATAGAAAATTACAAAAAATATTTTGGTATTTGACTTTTGGCATTCATTTGGAAAATAACTATTTTTAAACAAAATATATTGCGAGCATTCAATTTATTCGAAAGAATATTCAATGTCCCTTGAAAGAGTTCCTGGAATATAACCTGCATAATAATTAATATCCGTCTTTATGTTGAATAAAGAATGAGGATTGAGACGTCAATATCCATCAACAAGAACTCCTGCCTTAATATAATCTGTGTGTGAGGATTGTATATTCAATATCCCTCAAAAAGGATTCATTGCCTTTCAATATCCCTTAAAAGGAATTTTTAATATTTTGTATATGGGGAACAAAGCTTAGTACATTTATATAAAAACCGTTGGATGGTATTTCAATATCCTGAAACCGATAGCTATATGACCATTTTAAGAAATCGTGGCAATAAATAAGTTGCCATAATACCAAATTTGGATGGTCCGCAGAATAAAACAGAAATGAAACAGAAACTACGATCAACAAGCGCTTGTCGAGGCAGATTCAATTTATAATTCTGTGAGTATTAAATTAAATTATTAGTTATTCTTATCGTTGGATGGAAATTATGAAATAGCTAAAACACAGATTTACGTAAGAAGACATACGGATTTAAAATATTTTATTAATTTGTCATAAATTATGCAGTCCTTATTTTTTCACATACCTTTGTTTCATTCGAAATTATATCTGTAAGAGAGGAAAATGTCTGTACGTCTGATTTTTTGTTTGTGGTTTATAGACTCAAAAACTGCTGCATAGATTTTTTTAAATTTCAGTAGGAACAGGAGAATCGGAATTACTTCCAAAATATTAAGTTTTTGTATGCACAATCTATTAATCGATTTCATATATAGTCTTCAATATGGGAGTGCGTAACGGAATTTGTAGCAAAAATTATTTTGTCAAATTCAGATTGAATATATATATACATTGATGGAATATATATATATACACAGGAACCATGTCGGTTTTGCTTATTGTCGTTTTTGTAAACCAAGGTTGGTTTCATTTGGTGTCGTGAAACCAAGTTGGTTTTGTCAATTTCGAATGTAAATAAAACCAATGTTCGAAACAGCTGTTGTTGCTTACATGTGGTGTTTGTATATTTGTCATTGAAATATCAGTAAAAGTAAAGTAAATAAAAAAAAGGAATAAGTCGCTATAAATAAAGTAAGATGGCATCAGCAGTGGTAGTTTTTGTGTTTTTGGATGAAGAACGCTCAGAAAAGGTGACGAGAAAAGCTCTTAGAGATTTCAGCAACCCACTGGAGTTGCCGGAGATAGCGTAAGTATATCTTTTAATTGTGAACTTACTCATAAAGCTGCTGTGCAGATTCGTATCTAATTATAGGTTGAACAAAGAAGCATTTCGTATGGTCCTTGACACTATCGAAGGGTATTTGTCGCATTCTGAAATACTTCCGATTTTGCAACTTGCTACTTCGTTGCGGTTTTTAGCGAAGGGATCTTATCAGAGATCAGTCGGTAACGATTCAAATATAAGTGAAGCACCGTATCAACAATTTTAAGTGATGTTCTCAATGTTATGGAGCGATTCATTTGTCGTCAGTGGGTTCAATTGGAAATGGACAACAATGAAAAAAGAAGATAAAGAGACCATTTCTATAATAAATATAAAATTCCTTGTATAATTGGTTGCATTGATGGGACACACGTAAAAATTATAAAGCCTAGCATTGGCGATCATTTATATTTCAATCGAAAGGGTTATTACAGTATGAATGCCATGATTGTAAGTTGAAATGAATTTTAGTTTTATATTTTATAATAAAAGTCGTACTTGTTAATCCTCAGATTTGTGACGGTAAAATGAATATTCGAGCTGTGGATGCACGGTATCCCGGCTCCAACCATGACTCCGTTGTGTGGAATATAAGTAGTGCCAAGCAACATTTTATTAGAATGCATGAGTCGGGAGACAGAACATCGAAGCTTTTAGGAGATTGTGGATATGGAATTGAACCCTATTTGTTAACACCGTACAGAGATCCGCGCTATAACTCCAAAGAATATAAAATCAATATGGCTCATTCTTCAGCTCGAAATATCGTTGAGCGAAATATTGGAGTTTTAAAAAGCCGGTTCGGTGCTTAATGAGTACATTGCATTATCAGCCAGAAAAAGTGGTGAAAATTATAAATGTCAGCTGCGCCTTACACAACATCTGCAGATTCTACAAATTAGAATGCAACGAAAATGATGTACCGTTACCATCTAACGATATAGAGGAGAACGTTGTGTTGCAATCATCAACTTCACAACAAAGTGAAGGTCAAAGAATTAGGGATGAAATAGCTAAGACTTTATAGCTAAATAAGAAAGGGTGAAACTTTCATTTGATAAATTCAGTCTTTTATTCATTAGTTAACAAAAATAAAGCATAAAAATTAAACATTAAATAACAAAATTAAAAGGTACATTCTATGTACATATGTCAAAACTAAACTAATATAGGCACTAAATTAATTTCTTTTTTGGTACAGGTTCTTTAGGTTTTCTTTGTTTTCTTGGAACTCTAACTTTTTCGTTTCCAGATCCAATTGTCTCTTCATTATTTCCAATTTTTCCTTTTTGCAATTTAAAACTCCTCCACTATATCGGACAAACTCTTTTTTTAAATCATTGACAGCCCTCGCGACTAACTCATTTCCTTTTTCAATAGCCCTATAAGTGCGCTTTAGACTGCTTGCGTTTTGTTGCTCTATTTTTACCATCTCCTTAACATTTGCATTTAACTCCAAATCGATTTCACTTTGGTCATCTAAAAATTTTTTTTAAGCGGTCGCTGGTATTTTCTTTTCTTAACCTTTTTGGAGCACTTGTGGGAACATCTGCAATCAATGGGCGTTTTGAAGATGTTGATGGCATTTTTTCTTCAACTGCAACCAATGGGCACTTTGAAGATGTTGAGGGCATTTCTTCCTCAACTGAAACATCAACATCTTCCGTGAGACCAAGTGAAATGCCGGACACACCTTCTACTGACTGCGCAATGCCACATAAACGCACTATAGCCTCTTCATTAGCTGTCAACTGATGTTTTGCGTACGGTCCACCGCCAGTTGCCCTAGATTCAGTTTTATTTTGCGCCATCTTTCTTTTCACTTCGCTTTTGCACTCAGTCCATTTCTATAAAAATAAAAACTACAGATTAACAATCTTATTTTTAGTTTTGTGGCAAAATTTGTTTACCTTCTTCCATCCGTTAACATCGTTTTGTGGTGGACCTGCACTATTTAGTGATTCTGACAATTGTTGCCATAGGGCATCCACTTTGGCTTATCACACTTAGTGAACCCCTTTGCTAGGTCTGGATACTTCTCCATAAATTCCAGGATAATTGCATTTTGGGTACTATTTTTATGCTTTCCCCTACAAAATAAAACATCAATGCGAAAAAATATATTTTTTAAGCAAATGTTAAAATAAATGAATTTACTTACATTTTTACAACATATCCCAAAGCGAGCAAATGAAAAGTGACAGCTCTATGCAACTTGGTTTATTTCCAATAACAAAACCAATAACATTGGCTTCTACGACAACCAAAACCGATAAAACATTGATTTTCTTGACACCAAATCATTTTTTCTTGTCGTTTTAAAAACCAATAGTGACAAAATTTGTTTCTATGACAGCCCTTATATATATATATATATATATATATATATATATATATATATATATATATATATAAATATATAATATATATATATATATATATATATATATATATATACATATATATATATAATTGCTCGACAATGTTTATATGAATATATATATAAATATATATATATATATATATATATATATATATATATATATATATATATATATGTAAATATATATATAAATATATATGTATATATATATATATATATATATATATATATATATATATATATATATATATATATATATATATATATATATATATATATATATATTTATATATATATATATATATATATATATATATATATATATATATATATATATATATATATATATATATATATATATATATATATATATATATATATATATATATATATATATATATATATATATATATATATAATTAATTTTATAGGAATAACTCATTATGTCTTTACTTAGTTGTAATGTAAAATCTACGTCGGTTTCATTTTTTGTGAAATGTCAAAACCAGTAAAAGTTTGGAATAGAGTTTGCAACTACTTTGCACCAGAACTACTTCTACGGAAATATATTTTTGAATACAAAGAATACTTTGGTTTTTGTTTCGGTTGTCAGAAAGGTTTGCTATAAAAAATTACAAAAAATATTTTGGTATTTGACTTTTGGCAATTATTTGCAAAATAACTATTTTTAAACAAAATATATTGCGAGCATTCAATTTATTCGGAAGAATATTCAATGTCCCTTGAAAGAGTTACTGGAATATAACCTGCATAATAATTAATATCCGTCTTTATATTGAATCAAGAATGAGGATCCATCAACTACAACTCCTGCCCTATTTTAATCTGTGTGTGAGGATTGTATATTCAATATCCTTCA